CCGCTGGGGAAACACAGCCCGGCCGCCTCTCGGGAAAGGGGGGGTGGGGGATGGGCCTACCTATCCCGAGGGAGCAGTTGAGAGGTTCCATATGCCGAGCCGAAGGGCAGAACTTCAGTGCGTGATCGTAGTATGTCACCTCGTCTCGTCCTCGCAGCATCGAAGAGTACCTATGCACTATGTTCCGGTTCACTGATAAGGAAGATAGAGTTGGGGTGGGGGTCTACGATGTGATACTATAGTATGCCCCGGGGAGAAAGATGCGCAACTCAAAACGGAAGCAGGAAGCGTGTTGTCAAAAATATCGGAGGTTACCAGATCTCTGAGACTACCATTGATCCGACAGAGCGGAACAACCAGAAAAAGAAGTGGAGTTAGAAAGCCGTATGATAGGTGGTAACTATCTTGTACGGTTCGGGGGGTAAGCGGCGTACTCCGGGGGAATATTAGGCTCTATCGAACATACAGGGAATTGGAGGTAGCATTTTACTTATGTTAAGTCATGGACTGGTTTCTTCAGCCCTTTTTCTATGTGTTGGTGTTCTATATGACCGACATAAGACTCGACTTGTTAGATATTATGGAGGTTTAGTGAGCACCATGCCGAATTTCTCTACCATTTTCTTCTTTTTCACTTTAGCCAATATGAGTTTACCCGGCACTAGCAGCTTTATCGGGGAATTTCTAATCTTAGTAGGAGCTTTCCAAAGAAATAGCTTAGTAGCCACATTAGCAGCGCTTGGGATGATTTTAGGCGCGGCGTATTCCCTTTGGCTATATAATCGTGTGGTTTCTGGAAATTTAAAACCCGATTTCCTCTATAAATTCTCCGATCTAAATGGCAGAGAAGTTTCCATATTTCTACCTTTTCTTGTTGGAGGGGCGACCGTCCGTTGAACTACCAAAAAAGGGTAAACCAATGTGATCATAACATTGTAGGTGCTTGCGATGGGACGGATGCGACTTCCCTCATAAGTAATGGGTGGCATAGCCCGTAGCAGAAGTCCCCTTTTTTTATCCATTTCTTTATTACCCCAGAGGGGCCCGCCCTGGTGGGACCGAGAGAAAGAAAGGACGGGGGGGGCGACCATGCATGGCACTTCTCGACCGTGTCTCCGAGGGACAGTTGAACGAGCGACTCATGAATGCTGCCGGGTCGGACGAGCCAATAACTCGAACGTGTTCGGTCAGTTTTTTGAGCAAGAATCACAGCGTTACCTTACCTTCACCATGATACGGACTCCAAGTTCTTATGGCAGAGCACGAGGAGTTTCCTTCAATATGATGATGAGAATGGAAACCAGAAGCACGACTGGGTCTTCGTAGTCCGAGATCATACTTATATATCAGTCACAGTAACGTAAGCATGAGACTTTTTGGTAGTACCGGTGAACCAGATGGCCGCGGCGAGGGAATCTGGGACGGAGGACTCGTAATATCTCTATAGATCTGGCAAAAGCGAAAGACCCCTAACGTCAGGGGCTGACCACTGAGCTCACTCAGGCCTCGCTGGGCGGGCCAGAGTGGGTGCGAGCTGGAATTGCCATAGCTTATGGTTAGAGCAATAGGAAAGGGCCCAGCGGAGAGAACAGTCAGGATAACGAGCGCGGAGCCCGCTTGGCAGGCGGCAGGAGCTGTGGGCAAGTGCTTGCTTGGTAGGCCAACAGCCCTGTGAACCGGGCGGGGCACTCGACGAAAGGGGGCACACTGAGCAAGTACGAAAAATTGGCCCCGCGGAGCTTTCAAAAAGAAAAGCAAGGACCACTACGGGAGGTCGAACCACGGACCGGAGGTAGTAGAACGTGATCCGCACCGGTCAATATTGGATCAAACAATAGGGGACCGTAGCACTGACCTTTCTTTTTCAAGACAATAGGTACTGTTCCCTACCGAGACAAGGGACACTCTCAACGGATCCTCCACGCGCTGGGCATACCATAGTTCTTCCGTGCGTCTTTATCGTGGCGGAAACAGAACAAAAGGGAAGACCCGGCCGACTCGCCCAGGGCTCGAGGGCGAGCCATACGAGAGTGAGTCGAATTCTGTTTACGTTCTCGGTTTGGTTCGGGCCCCTCTCGATCTTTTGCGTATAAGGGAAGGGGGAAGGAGTCTAAATCTATGGACATTAATGAACCACCATTGATGGACGTTGCACATGACACGATCAATTCGACTCGACGGTCCGGTGCTAATAGAAGTCGCTTACTCTCCGTCTAGCGAAGGTGCCAGGGCAGGGCTTTTTTGTAGTAATAGTGGGCGGGTCTCATGAGATTTCATCTATGCCGGCCGTCGGAATCAAACGAGGGTCGAAGGACCATTCGATTCATTAAGGGGGACGGCCCATTTGTAAGGCGGGGGGGCCTGAATGAAGAGCGGACCAGACTCTTCTTTGTTTCAGCTGCTCCCACGCACGAAGATTTATCTATTGATAGAGTTAAGGGCTCGGCTCCCCCGACTCTAAAAGGTTAGGTTACTACCAGCTTGCCTCTACGGAAGAGGTGTACTTTGTACTGTCTAGAGGTCATATAGATCGGAACCCGGAGCGAGTTGAACGAAAGCCTTACCCACTGCTACAACTACTGGCGCTTCAAAGGGCTTAGATTCTAAGGTAGGGGTGTCAGCCGTGAAAGCCTTTGGTACTTTAGTAAGGCGAGCAGCCCTTAAACAAAATCAAAGGCGCGACCATCCCCCCTTCCCCTATTTTTGCATTTCATTCTCTATTTGGCCCGCCTCATGAAAAATGATAGGCCTATTGATTCGAAGTAAGTACGAAAGGGTCGGTCAATAGCATAGCTCTTTTTTTTTTCTCCTTTCGAAGGAAAGGCCTTCGCATTCTTAATCTGGTAGGGCCGGACGGCTTTGTTTGCCCTAGCTTGGCGAATCGCGCCCCTGACCGTTCTCGCGAAGTCTTTGCAACGGCTGGGAAACCTGTCTACGAAGCTAAGCATATTGCCACGCCGACCATCAAATACGAGATTGGGCCCCTTCTCAAAGATGGAATGGCCCAGCCCAATAAAGGAAGGTTAACGTACGCGATGCCTTCCATTTGTACGAATCGCGAACATACCACGCACGACCGGACGTAGAGCCAAAATTCACTGGCAGACCGAGTCGGGCGCAGGTGCCAGATCCTCAAAGTAAAGTATCGATCAGCCTAGTGTACCAACCACGTGGTACGACGGGCACTCAAAGACCTGGCGAATGAGGGCCCACCCCACCCAAGAGCGCTTATGTCATATGGGAACTCTTGGCTGGAAACAATCCTTATGGTTTTTATATCCGGTTAGAATAATAAGAAAGAATCAAAGTCCAGGTTGGTTGGTGAGCCTAGTGATAGGAGACTATCTAGCTTGGTTCGGAGAGCACTTGTTGGGTTTAAGATTAGTTTTTTGCTAAATGTTACGGCCTAAATGCTGAACTATTGACCCTACTTGTTCGGATGGGTGTTCACCCCAAAGTGTTCCCGGACTGCATGCATACATCCGTAAGTAACTTAGTGCAACATGGCAAATTTCATTGAGAGGAATCAGCAAAGAAAAGAAATCTTCTCCGGGTGACTGGATCGCCCCGGAACCACAAGAATCCTTAGAATGGGATTCCAACTCAGCACCTTTTGTTTTGGGATTTTGAGAAGAGTTGCTCTTTGGAGAGCACAGTACGATGAAAGTTGTAAGCTGTGTTCGGGGGGGAGTTATTGCCTATCGTTGTCCTCTATGGTAGAACCCGTCGGGGAGGCCTGAGAGGCGGTGGTTTACCCTGTGGCGGATGTCAGCGGTTCGAGTCCGCTTATCTCCAGCCCGTGAACTTAGCGGATACTATGATAGCACCGAATTTTGCCAATTCGTCAGTTCGATCTATGATTTCGCATTCATGGACGTTGATAAGATCCTTCCATTTAGTAGTAGCACCTTAAGATGGCATAGCCTTAACGTTAATGGCGAGGTTCGAAAGAGGAAAGGCTTGCTTTATTCAATACCTCCTTATCTATGTAGTGTCTCTTCATTTTCTTGGTGCTTAATGTTGACATTTCAGTAATGGAGGAAGATTGAGAGTGAAACATTTAGGTACGACAAAAGGAAAAAGGAAACCCTTATTTATAAGTAGCTTTGCACAGCAATTGGATCTGGTAAGGTCTAAGGTATAACACAAAGTACCTCTTGAGCGACCCAGGTTCATGCTGGTACTCCTTTCGAAGAAAAATTTTCGTTGGAAAGAGCTTCTTGCATACGATCTCCTCCGGTTGATATTGATGTCGTGATGAACCTCTTTCGGAAGCGAAGGAATCCAAGCCAAGAAAGAACTACCGGCCCTGCTGACTTCATATATTCAGTGCTTGGCGAACGTTGCACACTCCATCACCAATTCCCTTTCATTTCCACAGGCTCCTTCTTTTGGGAGCAACTTTTTGTGTGCAATTAGGTAAAATTTCTCTAACTCTATAACTTGGCAACTGATCAAAAGAAAGCTATTCCTCTTAGCCCTAGTAGCCCTAGCTATCTAATGCATACTTTCCAACAGGCCCCGGCCTATAACGGCAAATCACTGGCACATGACTGGAAATTGAGTTAGTTAGAGAGCATTAATTACATCACAAATTCCACCTAGGGATTCCTCTATAAAAAAGATTACTCTACTGAACATCTGCAACACATTCCACAGCTTTAGTGCACTTTGGTCTCGAAACTGTTGACTAGGCATTGTCTCGATGAACTGAACTATTGATCGCAGACTACTTGTTGTGAATTCACAATTGAATCGCTTCTAGTATGAGAATTTGGTTTTCTCTCACTTTCCGGTTGTAATAGAAGGTTCATCGGCTCGTATCCTGGTTGAGAAGAAGCAGTTTTCAAGCTTGACTTGATTGGTCAAGAAGACAATAGGTAGGGTTTGAACTCGCTTGTTTCGGAGCCCAAGGATTCTACTCACTCGCTACACGCTTGCTGGTTTCGAACTAATGTCGGATCACTCGTGGTTTTCTTTTTTCGGGTTTATCTCCTCACATGTTGGAGCAACAGGTAGATTTACATATCTGATACCTCTGCTCCTTCCCTTGGGGCTAGTACTCCAACTTCAACTTCGATTTTATTAATAACTACTTATGAGACCTTTTTTGGCACATACCCCTTAGCTCAAGTTTTTGATCAAACCAATCCATTGACACAAACGGTTCATGGGCGAAAAGTGAGTTGTTTGGGTCCTGGAGGATTGACGGGGAGAACTGCAAGTTTTCGGAGCCGAGATATTCATCCGAGTCACTATGGGCGTATTTGTCCAATTGACACGTCCGAAGGAATCAATGTTGGACTTACCGGATCGTTAGCTATTCATGCGAGAATTGATCACTGGTGGGGATCTATAGAGAGTCCGTTTTATGAAATATCTGAGAAAGCAAAAGAAAAAAAAGAGAGACAGGTAGTTTATTTATCACCAAATAGAGATGAATATTATATGATAGCAGCAGGAAATTCTTTGTCCTTGAATCAGGGTATTCAGGAAGAACAGGTTGTTCCAGCTAGATACCGTCAAGAATTCCTGACTATTGCATGGGAACAGATTCATGTTAGAAGTATTTTTCCTTTCCAATATTTTTCTATTGGAGGTTCTCTCATTCCTTTTATTGAGCATAATGATGCGAATCGGGCTTTAATGAGTTCTAATATGCAGCGCCAAGCAGTTCCACTTTCTCGGTCCGAGAAGTGCATTGTTGGAACTGGATTGGAACGACAAACAGCTCTAGATTCGAGGGTTTCCGTTATAGCCGAACGCGAGGGAAAGATCATTTCTAGTGATAGTCACAAGATCCTTTTATCAAGTAGTGGGAAGACCATAAGTATTCCTTTAGTTGCCCATCGACGCTCTAACAAAAATACTTGTATGCACCAAAAACCTCGGGTTCCGCGGGGTAAATCCATTAAAAAAGGGCAAATTTTAGCGGAGGGAGCAGCTACAGTTGGCGGGGAACTTGCTTTAGGAAAAAACGTTTTAGTAGCTTATATGCCCTGGGAGGGTTACAATTTTGAAGACGCAGTACTAATTAGTGAACGTTTGGTATATGAGGATATTTATACTTCTTTTCACATCCGAAAATATGAAATTCAGACGGATACGACAAGCCAAGGCTCCGCTGAAAAAATCACTAAACAAATACCACATCTAGAAGAACATTTACTCCGCAATTTGGACAGAAATGGAGTTGTGAGGTTGGGATCCTGGGTAGAAACTGGCGATATTTTAGTAGGTAAATTAACGCCTCAGATAGCGAGCGAATCGTCGTATATCGCGGAAGCTGGATTATTACGGGCTATTTTTGGTCTTGAGGTATCCACTTCAAAAGAAACTTCTCTCAAACTACCTATAGGTGGAAGAGGGCGCGTTATCGATGTGAAATGGATCCAGAGGGACCCCTTTGACATAATGGTTCGTGTATATATTTTACAGAAACGTGAAATCAAAGTTGGGGATAAAGTAGCCGGAAGACACGGGAATAAGGGGATCATTTCAAAAATTTTGCCTAGGCAAGATATGCCCTATTTGCAAGATGGAACACCTGTTGATATGGTCTTCAATCCCTTAGGAGTACCCTCACGAATGAATGTGGGACAAATATTTGAAAGCTCGCTCGGATTAGCAGGGGATCTGCTAAAGAAACATTATAGAATAGCACCCTTTGATGAGAGATATGAGCAAGAGGCTTCAAGAAAACTTGTGTTTTCGGAATTATATGAAGCCAGTAAACAAACAAAAAATCCATGGGTATTTGAACCCGAGTACCCGGGAAAAAGCAGAATATTTGATGGAAGAACAGGAGATCCCTTCGAACAGCCTGTTCTAATAGGGAAGTCCTATATCTTAAAATTAATTCATCAAGTTGATGAGAAAATTCATGGACGTTCTACTGGGCCCTACTCACTTGTTACCCAACAACCCGTTAGAGGAAGAGCCAAGCAAGGGGACAACGAATAGGAGAAATGGAAGTTTGGGCTTTAGAAGGATTTGGTGTTGCTCATATTTTACAAGAGATACTTACTTATAAATCTGATCATCTTATAGCTCGCCAAGAAATACTTAATGCTACGATCTGGGGAAAAAGAGTGCCTAATCACGAGGATCCGCCAGAATCTTTTCGAGTGCTCGTTCGAGAACTACGATCTTTGGCTCTAGAACTGAACCATTTCCTTGTATCTGAGAAGAACTTCCGGGTTAATAGGGAGGATGTTTGATCGGAATAAATATCAATTTTTTTCTTATTTCTATTTTATGATTGACCAATATAAACATAAACAACTTCAAATTGGACTCGTTTCCCCTCAACAAATAAAGGCTTGGGCTAAAAAAATCCTACCTAATGGGGAAGTCGTTGGCGAAGTCACAAGGCCCTCCACTTTTCATTATAAAACCGATAAACCAGAAAAAGATGGATTGTTTTGCGAAAGAATCTTTGGACCCATAAAAAGCGGAATTTGTGCTTGTGGAAATGGGGAGCAAGTACTCAGCAGAGATATCTACAGGCTCGGTCATCGCTTTGACTTCTTCCGAATGCTTTCGTGCTATTTTACAACTGTTGGGTTTTATATTAGCTCAATGGTAACGTATATAGGGCAGTAGCATGCATTATATTTGTTACTGTACAGTTGGCTGTCATGCATATTTTCTCATGTTCTTGTCTTAATGTTGTGCAGATGGTTGTCATAATAGTGTCTGTTTTCTTGTACGGAAGACTTTACTTAGCATTAAGTGGACTTGAGTTTGCAATTATGAAGCAAGCACGGATGAGAGGGAATCGTGCACTTCAAGCGGCTATATTACGAGTTCCAGTGGGTTGTCTTAAAAAGAATGGTTTAGCTGAATTCAGGAGAATTCTGTCTTTTGCACATGAGCGAATCGAGAGAATCTCTTGGTTTTTTATCTACCGATTAAAGGTTTCCGGGCACTGAAAAGATAGTGATTCGGGAGTCAAATCCCCAACAGACATAGGGGTGGTATCCGTGGCATAAAACCCTTTCAACATGCTCCTTTCTTCTTTATCTCCTGGCAATGAAAGGCAGGCGGTGCCTTCGTCTCGTTCAATACGGAAGTCTTCGGCTCAGCACCCTGCTCTCTGAAATCGAAACCCCACTTGGGCATCCTGAATAGAACTCCCCCTCTATCACCCAAGGTTGGTTTTTAGCAAGCTAAACCGCATCTCTAACACACCTCTTTGTAGGGCGGTTATGAAAAAAGAATTTGGAGAAAGAACAAGGGGATGAGCAAAAGAAAATCCCCCTCGCATTCACAGGCGAACCTCGTCCTATACGGCTGTTTTTTCGAGAGAAGAGAGATTCCTATCTCTACTGATAGGAGGTACTCGTGCAGGCTATTCCCATCTCTGATGTGTAAACACAAACTCTTCACTGTCCCAACAGAACTAACAGAGCTTGATACCTAAGATGCAAGGGATTCACCCCCAAAGTGCATATTTCTTTTCTCGGCTGCTGTAACAACTAGTACATAAGTAGCAGGCTTTCGCCTCAGAAGTATCTGTTCCCCTAAATAGAATAAGTTGGGCGCCACTACAGCTTCTTGAGTTGGCTCCGCTCCGTAAACTTAGGTTGGCTCAGTCAGCTCCTCGTATCAAGACTGAAGTCTGTCAAGCGGTCCTTGATTGAAAATGTTGTCAAGCAACCATCCATGAAGAAATGACATCAGGAGAGTTGCCAGCGAGGATGATATCATCAACATATACAAGCATATATAGAGTTACTTTTCCCGCCATAACTTCTATAATAGGGCAGGGATTAATCTTCTTTTGAGGCTGAGAATCTGTACCGCTTAAGTAAGTCACTCAGCTTTTTTAACCCGGCCTTAGATGCTTGCTTCAACCCATAGAGAGACTTGAGGAGCTTGCACACATAAGACGGACGAGTAGGGTCAATGAACCGGAGGGCTTGCTGCATATTGCTCATCAAGGCATGTAGAAAAGCATTTTATATATAAAGTTGCTGAATTAATCAACCAGTAGAGATAGCCAGAGATAAGCCTGCTTAGAATATCTGCCCGAATGGTAAGCGGTTTGATAACGGGACTTAATTTATCATTAAAAGAAATTCCTATCTTATAAGTTGATGCGCCGCCCTTAGCAACCTTGTATCGCTCAATATCTCCATCCACATGTGTGTTTTTTAGTTTCTAAACCCATTTTCAGCCAATTCGGGTTCCATGGGAAGGAGGCGCTACCCACATGAGAATTCACATATATGGTTGATGAAATACTGGATTACTGGGCCCAATATAGTTGTTATGGTGCTTAATCTGTAGACAAGTAGAGTTCGTGCACACTGTTATACAAGACAATATACTCTAACACACACTCTTGGTAATAAAAGGCAATCAACAATTTGCTGATATAACCTGTTCTTCCCACTGTGCAGAAACCGGAGGAGGGAAAACAATGGCAGGCTTTGTACCAGAACCCGCAAAAAGCTGTCTTCTTGGAACTGAATCCTTGTTACCATGACCGAACTCAGCCAGCTCTCTGAAAATTAGAAAAGGTAGCAATAATTAGTTGCCTATTCATATGGAAGCTATGTATATAATTCTCAGGAGCTCAACAAAGAATAACCTGATCTCATTAACCATCATATCTCTTGTTATCACTTCTAACATGTCTTGAAGCAACAGTACCACATTATCAAACTTTGAGGCATCTCTTTCTTTCTGCAGGTGACCAGCATAATGTTAGCATTACCTTCAATACATGAATTGATCATCTGTCTTAACAAGTTGAAATATTGAAATTGTCAAATAGGAGAATAGTTGAGTAAATGAGTAAAGTAGTAACATTGCATTACCAAGGTAGATACAAGCTCCACAAATTTATTGAAAAGAACTGGGATGGGAGTGCGCTCATTCTAAAATTGGCAAGGAACGTATTCTTTGCAATATTAGCTTCTATTTCTTTTATTATAATACCAATAATCCTGTTTATGTTAATGAACAAACATGTCAAAAGAGGATCAACATAATCAACTGAACATGGAATTCAAAGATATATATATGCACCAACGGCCATGCAGTTCAAGAAGCCAACTAGCATGAAGGATAAAACACATATGCCTTCAGTACCATTGAGGTTACGTATGTAACAATAGCTAAAGCTTACTAACTACAAGCAGTCATAGTTTTCTTTACATTGTACATCTATGGTGGTGCTTGGCTGTCCGCTGTCCTTCTCCCTAGTTCATTTTGGAATAGCTAGTTCCTGAATATTGAAATAGTGAATATGTGCAGCCACATGCAAATGTTGGATTCCATATTCTTAGTATTGGATTTGTAACCTTGGCTCAGTGGCTCACACATGCCTAATTATATAGGGTCTGGTAGTGTAAAGCTCATATGTCACTTCGATCACCACCTCTAATCCCCCATTGATTCTTGATAGCGTGAGATGGTGAAATTGTTCTGGCTTGTGTGGAGAGACTGGTCTTGGGCTGGGGCTGCTGCGACTAACCTTTCGCCCAGAGTTGGCGGAGCTGAGGTTGGCTGGCTGGGTGGCACTTTTCGTCGACCCATTTGGGAAAGTTAGTGGTGCGTTGCATGGTCAATTTGGATTTGATCAACAACTTACCTTGACAATTCGCATTGATCAACTGACCTGGCAAAGAAAAGAGTCAAAATCTGGATCAAATCGGTGAAGAAACACGACTTGTCCCTATTGAAAGGAATAGGAGAGATAGAAAGTGCGGGGAAGTTGATTTATTAGTTTGGAGGATAAATAGATAGGCGTGAGAGTACTTTACTGGTTGAAAAATAGACTGGCATAAGGGATAGGCAAGGGTAAACTGGATAGCCAAGTTCAATGACTGAGAAGTAGAGGGCTAGCACGAGCTGTGACCATTGCCAAGAACGAGTGCATTCTATACCTAGCGATAGGTCAAGATCCTTTTTCCTATCTATTGAAGATGCAAAGAGAGATGCTTCTTCCTCTTCAAGTTGGAAGTGCAAGAAGAAATGCGGTAAAGCGGTAAATAGGAGTTCCATCTACCACGCACTCGCCCCACACTCCAGTTCAGCATCCATACTCAGCTAGGAGGAAGGTGCCGGGGACACTATGAACACACATGTACTTGGTTGACTTCACGTCCCGTCTCACAACCGGGTAAGATCAAATAAACAAACAGCTTGCTTGCCCAATCCCTATTGAGAGGATTTCTTGAGCTTGAACTTCCTTTTGTAGCTCCGCTCACAGGGACTTCTTTTCATCCGCAATGAAGCTTATACCACCACTTGGCCAGTAAGGCCTGATTCAAAAAAGATCAATCACCCCCTTCCCTACTTCAATGGAAAAGGGGGAATCGCCCTTTCACAGCCGCCCCTCCACTAAATTGATACCTATCCTTTCGCCTAAGATGATCACGAACGAAGACAGAGAATTGCGTAGATAGGAGGAGGAAACGAACCAACCCGGGGCCCCAAACAAACAAAAGGGAATGAGAGAAATGATCGGAACGATTGAGGAAAGAAAGAGAATGGCGGCCCCTTTCCTTTCGCCCAGGGGGCATCGTCGTCGGGGACAGGCTTCGAGGGTTCTTCCATATTTAGATATAGAGATAGATGATGATAGAGATCTAGATCTTTCTATAGATAGATCCTTTGAGAAATTTCTATTGATCCGCTTTCAAGATCTATGAACAAGAGAGAAAAAAAATATCCATGTAAAAAAAAGAGATGAATAGATAGGGCTGAGCCGATAGCAGGACTGGGTACGATGATGGGGCGAGAGAGGGAAAAAAACCTTCGGGATGGATCGGGAAAAGTGACCTCCGGCTCAGCCCACGACTCCCTTTCCCTTCCCTTCGCATAGCTCACTCAAAATCCCCCTTTTTTCCCAGAATGAATTCGCCCGACACGACGAATCCTGCCCTCCTGTCTTTCTTTCTCATTGAATGAACCACTGCCTGGGACGCCCCTATGCCTATGAATTCAAT